ACACGATTTTTTAACATAGAAAGTTTCTTAGGAGAAGTTATATCCATATCATAACTACATTCGTCTTGTGAACTTTTTCGTGAACATTTTAAAATTGTTTTCTTAGGCTTATCATCGTGTTCATCTGATTCCGTACTTGATTTTTTTTTCAATATCGGACGTGGCTCATGCGAAGGAGGATCATTACCAGATGATTCTTCTCTACTGTGTTTTTTCTTCAATATTGGTCTTACTTCGGAACCTTCAAATGTTTCAGTACCATTTGTAAGATCAGTTGCAATTGTTACGTGATGAGTAGTATTGCTTGATCTTGTATTATTCAATGATTTTCTTTTAAGAATTCCTTGTGGTTCCGGAGAACCAATTTGACCATCTTCTCTATCATCTTCTCTAGATGTCTTACGTTTCAATATAGAAGTAGGTTGAGGATCAGGACTTTGATCTCTTTTTATAATTTCATCTAATGACGATCGTCTTTGATTTTTTAAAATCGGTCTAAATTCGGAATAGTTGTTATCATTAAAAGAAACTTCAGGTGAACAACTGCGTCGCCGAAGTATTTCACTTTCATCCAAACTACTACGCTTTTTTAAGATACCATGCCTTTTATGAATTGGTTCTATCACAGATGGTGAAAATGTTACAGGTAATGTATTATGTGACGTATTAGATGAAGATTGACCTATTTCACTTTCAGCCACCTTGTGTTTAAGTATAGATATTGGCGGTTGACGTCCTGAACAAGAATCTTGAGGATATTCATCTATAGATTTTTTCAAGATAGAACATTTACTTGGTGATACAGTTGTATGAATATTCGTAGAATGATTTGCATATTTTGTTACATTTCTTGTAGGTGATACATTAGTTAAATAGATCTCAGACTTTTGTTTATGATTTACTGATAAACCACTATGCGATGCAAGTCTTTCTACTCGTTCCATAGTAGCTTTCGTTAATGCAGTTAATGCATCAACTCTTCTCGAGACTTCTGAATCACTATGACCATCCTTACTATCAATTTATATAAATATTAAACAATTTATATTCGTATTATTAAGAAATATTAAACAAAGGAAAAACAACTACCTGTTTTGTAGTACATTGCAACATTTTGTATTTGGAAGAGATGTAACAGTTGATGAGAAATTAGGTTTGGAACGATGTGTATTGTAATGGCAATTGCCACGCGATGAGCCAAGTTTTGATTCTGTATGCTTTTTTTGTGAACTAGCAGCTGTCTGATGAGAAGCACCAGTATCGGAAGACAATATTGTATCGGATATGTGATTTTGTTTACTTGATTGTCTCGTACTTCTTTTTTCATTACATTCAGCTAAAAATAAAATTTACTTTTACTGCTATTAATTTGATACAATATACACCAAATTAAATACAAACGATGGAAAAGTAATCTATTTAATACAGAAATATTAAAAGTTATGTCAAACAAAAATAAAAATACTTATTTGCTTACAGTTAATTAAACGATCTGATGGAACTGCTTCTATATTGCTCGATCGATTTAGATACGATTTTCTTTTATAACTTTTATCTCTTTCTCGCACTGGATTCATTGTATTAACATTGTCTGAAGATACTGGATTGTCCTGCACATGCATATTTTACTTATTACCACATTTAAACATATAAATTATATATTGAACAATAATTACATGCCGTTATTATATACTCGTATGAAAATACTTACTACTTTAGTAGATAAATTAGCACTCAATTGAGAACCTGAAGGAATAGAAGTTTCTGACACAGCTAATCGTTTTAACGTATTACCTAAAAGGAAACATGTTCATAATAAAATGTTAAAAATCTTAGAAAATGTAAAAAGAAAAAAAAGAACTTAGTAAATATACTTACTATTCGACGAAACAATAGAAGCAGCACGTAGCCTAGAAGCTTTAGTTTCACGAATATGCGCTACCTTATGTAATGCAAGATTTTTATGATCTTTATTTTCAACTCTCTGTGTTGCACGATTAGATTTCCCTAATGCATAACTATGTTTTTTATCCTCTAGTTTTTCTTTAAAAAAAGAGAGAATCAAAGTTGTTCGACATTAATACATTAATACATTGAAACATTATTAATATTACATATGTTTTTTTAATATAAAAATACTTGCCTATTATTTATGCTACGAGACTACAACTCATGTGTGATAATTACCTTAATATATATATATAATGTATAAATAAAATTCCTAATAGTTTAAATAATAAATAATACTTACTATCAGACGAACAAGATATTAAATTCTTCCTAGGTCTGCACTCTGTGCTTTGCTCATTACACTGTATGTTACTACACTTAGAAGGATCAGTAGCATTTACACATTCTGACGAGTTATTTTCTGTTTCATTCGAAGAACTTTCTCCACTGGCTGCCATCAAAACCGTTGCACCAGCAGCTACCATTACTAAAAATAAATACTATATTACATCTTACATTGCCAATTTATCTTCGTTTCAATTTTGCCAAAAATCACATATTAAAAAATCATTAAATTTTTAAAAGGAATATTTAAAACTGCAATAACATATGTTAAGAAAAAATGTTGTTAATTTATAACAATATATATATATATATATATTTTTTTTTTTTTTTTAAGATATTCTTAAACTTGTTTAAAAGTTTAATAAATATATTATTCATACTTAATAAGAATCGATCTGTTAGAAAAAAAAAGTTAAGTTTACGTATAATTAAATAATTATTTTTTACATCGTTGCTTGCACAAATAGGTTCTTAATGATAAATAAATTCGAAAAAAATGTATATTCTAATATAAATAATATTTCTACTATAATAATAATAAATACAATCGGCGTTATCGTTAATATGTCATCGTTAACATTGTGATAGAGAAAAGATTTCGCTGTAAAGAGAAAGTTTATCTCTTCTTTTATTAGCATTTTCTTTCTTTTCTTTATTTCTTTTATCTCTTCGCTTAAATATATATATATATATTTTACCTACTTATTTACTGTGTCCTTCCTTATGTTGCAGCCATAACTTTGCCTTTTAAAATTAATTCTAAAAATAATTCCGAAAGTAGTCAACACGGATCAATCCGTTTTATATTGTATCACAGTTATTAATACTTATAAAAAGCACCAATTCGTAAACTATAGAATACATGTAAAAAATCACTGAACACCTAATTGATATATTTATATATATATATTTTATATATATATTTTATATATATATATTTTTTATATATATTTTATATATATATTTTATATATATATTTTATATATATAGATATATATCACGTATTGAAAAATATTACGATCGACTGGAAAAGAAATCTTCCCTGGAAATATTGCACAGGTATTACTCATCTAACCACGATTTCTCTTGTAACTGCCAGTAACAGTCAGTTGTCATTTACAGTTTACGTATACTAGCGATCCACACTTTATTCCACCGATAAGATTATTATTCTAGAAGGTGAATCGCCAATAAATTCTTAAACATTTTCATTGAGGATAGCAGCAGATAAGGTAGATTTTACTACTCTGTTTTACCATCAGTCTGATATTATGTTATTTTGTCAATGTTTAATAAGTATAAAGGAATTAAAAAAGGAAAATTAATTTAAATTATTTGGTACACCGCAATACAATTTACGAAGTCAAATTCTAATCTTTTAGTAAAAGCAGTTTATTCGACAATCATGATCGTTAAAATTCTTATTTTCCATTATCTTCTTTTTTATTCATATATAAAAAAGAATTTGTTTTAAAAAAGAACTATGTAAAAATAAAAGAAAGAAAGTTGTATAAAAATTCATGAAACAAAGCGATCATTTCGAAGATACATACGATTTTGAAATATCAAGGAGGATTAGTAAAAATTTGGGTCAACAGATGGCGCGTTGATCGACGATATCGCAGTTGCTCATAGCATTATTTAACGTAAAGTCGGCTATCTACAATTGTTTATATATCAATGATTGTACCATTGCTTTCATACTCTTCACAGCCTGTTTGCCAGCCAGCCTGGCACAATAAATGATAATACGTGTGTACGTGTACGAGGCTAAAAGTGGCAGCCTACAGTTGTTTCGTTGTTGCCGTCATTGTCGCATCAAAATAGTCTTGATTTTTGTCGACGTAGTCCGTTTACCAGGCATTACGTGTATTGTTATTATTATTGCTCTTGTGGTGTTGCTGTTACTGCTGTTGTTGCTGCTGCCGCTGTTTCACATATGTTATCTCAATATTCGCACGTGCGCGCGCGTTAAAGAACGCAAGCGAAGCGCGCGCGTGTATGTGTGTGTGTGAGTGAGTACGTGTGTGTATGCGCGTCCGCGATTTGCGTTCGCGTATCCCTCCGAAAAGATGGCCGCCATGAAAGTGTACGGTGGTGATGTTGATGTCGTTCGCAACGAGGCTGTGTTACGTCCTCAAAAAGCGTGAGAAAGATCTTTCAATAAATCGAATGCGTGTGCCATATTGGCACAGTAGATTATTAGTGGAAAAAATAGAACAATCCTTGAAAGAGTAAAGGTGGCCTTCGATAAGAGCCGCCGCCGGTAAGTGCGCTATTTATCGTGAGGTCTCTTTCGCGATTTACGACACGACAGAGGAAGTATAAGAAGTAGAGAAGTATAATAGCTAACAGCCGTGTATGATAAATACTATTGACAGAAAGAGGGAAAGAGAAAGAAATAAGGAAGGAAAAAGGTGAAGTGAAAGAGAGGGTTTTAATGTGTGATTTCAACGAAGAGATTGAAAGATAGAGATAGAGTGAGCGAGAGAGAGAGGGAAAAAGACGAGTGTGAAGAAGAGAAAGAAGGAACGGAGAAACGAAAGCATTGGAGAAAAAGAGAAGGTCTGGAGGAGGAGGAAGAAGAAGAAGAAGAAGAAGAAAAAAAAGAAGAAAAAGAAGAAAAAGAAGAAAAAGAAGAAAAAGAAGAAAAAGAAGAAAAAGAAGAAAAAGAAGAAAAAGAAAAAAAAGAAGCAGAAAGAAGAAGAGGAAGAAGAAGGACGAGGAGAGGGAGAAAAAGAAAGAAGGACGAGGAGGAGGAGAAGAAGAAAAAGGAACGTGACCGTTATCATTGGAAGGGTGTTCGACTAGAAGTAAACGAATGAGGAAGAAAGACGCTCGTGATAAAAAAGGGTGCCAGAATTGATAGAGGAAGGAGAGAAAGGTAGAGCAAAAGAGATAGAAGAAGATTGAGGAAAGAGCGAAAGTGAGAGAGAGAAAGAGAGAAAGGGAAAAGGAAAGAGCGAGAGAGAAAGATAGATAGGGGGAGCGCGTGGAAAACGGGGGTGATATACGCGAGTGAGTTGTACGGGTAACGCGGGTGGTGCGCTTTGGTGCCGCGAGTGAAAGAAATGCGCGCGTGAGAGGGTGTCTCTCGAGCCTCCCTCAGAACGTGCGAGCACACCAACATATCTTCGTTTCCGCGAGTTTTTTGACGCAACCCAAAGACGACGAGTGTGCCTACCGCGTCGACGCGCGTATCGAAAGTTTCGTGCTTTCGAAGGAGGGACGGCCATATTAATCCGTAACCCCCGCCGTCCGAAGCTCATTCCAAAAAGATTCTGTGTATTTTCTCTGAAAACCATTACCAGCACGGACACACCATTAGATATACATAACGCTGCAAATTAGGATTCGAAATTGAAAGGCTTGTCACGTTTTCTGTGATATGCGTGTGTACGCATTCAATAAGTAATCTTAAACGGTTTGTTAAATATAAAAGAAAATAAAATAAAAAACAAGAGAATTAAACAACAAGTTCTTCTATACGCACGGTTCGGTTCCACGTCCTTTCGGATGACGGTACGTATAGCTGGTGCGTGCGCGACGGTACAAGTGTGTACGAGCGTGTACGAGCGTGTGCAAGCTGTCTTTTACGCCGCCCGATGTCCCTGTGCCGTCCTCGTCGTACCGAAGCAAGTCAGCGGTTCACCAACTCCAGCGTGTCTTCTCTTTGCTCCAACGCCACTACTACCACCACCCTTCCTAGGCCCTATGCTACTCATGTAGTGAGTATTTTTCACTTATTTTTACTGTAGATTTGTCATTTCATGTTTCCATAATCATCTTCTAGCTTTAATTTTTTCTATTAAACTAAACTGCTATATTGTGTCCACTAAGACTATCCTTTATCGACTATTGTTTTATCTTTTGTGTTGTTTCCTTTATTGTTTCCTCTTTTCCATAGATAACATTTTTAAAAGTATTGTATAATATAATAGTACTATGTTATGATGACAATTCTTTAATCACTTTTAGTTTTAAGAGTTCATAACTCATCGATAACAGTCAATGTTGTGATAGAATGAAGAAAGTTTAAGGTTATTGCTTGCTCTCTTACTTTATTATCATATCAGACATTATTCTTTACATTATCCTGTATTTAACATAAATAATTAACAATCTTTTACTAAGTCTAACATTTTAATAAGTTTACTTGTAACATTGTATACGCTCTGTAATAATTCATCAGAGATGAAGATTTGTCGCTTTGAATTTCAGAAGACTTGGATGATCACCCAAAGACTAGATTGTATCAATAATTGTAGAAAAAAGAGGATACAAGAAGAGTCTTCAACATTAAAACATTTGATTAGTATCTAATGATGGTATATACAATCTGCCTCGATGAATAATTCGATGCTTAAAGTTAGTAATTCAATTATGTAACTTGCATGCAGTTAGACAATAATGATATATTAATTTTTATAACTGTATTAACTATCAGTATCTTAACGTTTATAACGATATTCAAAGCAAATCACATTGATTGAATTCATTATAATATCATGTGTTCATAATGTGGTATACATTGCAAACATAACCTCTAACCTGAGATAAATACGTAACTAGTATAGAGGATAGAATCTAATCGTTCTATAAACAATGAGTTACAAATAAGTGAGAGTATAGAAAGATATTTTTTATTACATTGTTTTCATATTACATTTACTTTCTTTTTTTTAATTAAAATTAATTTCAGTTATAATACCGTGTTAATAATACCACATAATATCATGTGTTATAATGTGTACACATTGCAAACATAACCTCTAACCTAAGGTAAATAAGTAACTAACATACAGGATAGAATCTAATCATTTTATAAACAATGAGTTACAAATAAGTGAAAATATAGAAAGATATTTTTTGATTACATTATTTTCATAATATATTTACTTTCTTTTTTCTTTTTTTTAATTAAATTTAATTTCAGTTATAATACCGATAGAGCAAGGAAAATGTTGCGGCGGGACTTGAAGATGTCACTGTCAAATTCGAAAGAAAGAAAAAGAGAGGAATAGGAAAACAGAAAGACAGCGAGAGAAAGAGAATTCTAAAGAGTCGAATGTTTCTGTACTACCGGTCGAGCAAATAACGTAGAATAAGAGAGAGCAGGTTTACCTATTTTTGTCAACTTTTTTTTTCGTTCGCTATTTATGTTTTGACTATTTTTATTTCTCTCTTTCTTTCTTTCTTTCGTTATTTTACTGTAATTTTCAAATATATACGATAAATTATTTCACACATAAAAGCATTCTATCTCAGCACTCTCCTCTTTAAATAATGCTTTTTACCACACTTGGCTTTTTTATTCTGGATCTCGAAGACGGTCGAGAGTACTTTGTATTTCGTGGTAGTGGCGCTGCGATGACGGCGCGTGCGAGGTTTGAACTTTTCTCTCCGTCTTTCTTTAACTCTCTCACTCACTCATTCATTCACTTTCTCTCTCACTCTTTCTCTATTTCTCTTTCTTGGTTTCTCCTACCCCTTTTTTCTCTTCACGGTGATTAGTGAATTTTTCTTCTACACTTAGAGCGCGTGCATTGAATATTTTCATCGTGCATGCATCGCCCATGCATCATGCTTATGCGATTGTGCGATCGCATAGATTGAAATCGAATAATCTCGTTTGTAGTTTAAATCTTTGTCATATATTCTCTTTATTCCCCGTCCCCTTCCTTCTCTTCTTACTCTTCTTCTTTTTTTCCTCTTTCTSTTTTTCTTTTTCTTTTTCGTCGTCGATGTCGTTGTCGTTGTCGTCGTCATCGTCGTAATCGTTTGTTTTTTCCTTCTTTCTTTCTTTTATCATTCATTCATTCATTCGTTTAGTGTTATTTGGTAAAAAGTTCATTCGTTGCCTTTGGTTTTAATCCTCTATAATTCTAAGCTTTGTTCGTGTTTAATTTAAAATTATATAATATGTGATAACACGTATGATATAATAATTATAATTTAAGTAATTAAAAGATTAATTTTGTGAAATAAAAAGAAGTAAAAACGCGAATGCGTAATTTAAAAGTTCAATCAAGTTTTAAGGGATTAATAATGCTGGGGTCTTTTAAAGGTTATCGTAAACAATAAAACAAACAAAAAGTTTATACTCAAATAGAATTTATTAATACCTCATTTATACTTAATACGTAAGTAGGATTACAATAATTTGTTTTTATTTTTGATATACAAATCTACGATCACAGTGTTAACAACAATAAATTTTCAATCTGCGATGCCGATATTTTAAATACTTGTAAGGGACAAATTTATAATATAAGAAAAAATTATATAAAAATTTAAATAATTCTCAGTACAGTAAAAATCTCTTGGGACATTCTATGTTATCTAATAATTATCAATGTGATAATTACGATAATTTTGTTTGATTCAAAATCATTATGCTTTATTTTTATATACGTATATAAATTCACGTACGTATATAAATTTATAAATTAATATTATTAGTTAAGATAATATGACAAAGAACAACTATACTCAATAATACTTTTTCATTCTTTTCAATGTGTAGGCACTAAACAAAATCGTTTTGGCGATAACGGGATAACGCTAATAAGATCACGACTTGTGCTTTATCTTATCGCCAATGTCTTTAATCTAGTCTTTCAGATAATGCAAAAGCACGATTTCATTTATTATCGATATATACATGCGCGCGTCGTTTTGTGTGAATCTGTGAGTAAATGTGTGGTATATCGAATTTTCGGAAGTGAGTACCAGAAATGCGCATACGGAATACTGTGGGATAGTAATTCGAACAATATAATTATCTAGTTAATTGTGCAAATTGCTTGAGTCAATTTTCAAAACCGATTTATAATCTCAGTATATATGTATAATATGTAGCTGTAGATATAAATATAATGCGTAACCCTACTTATCTCGATTCTCTCTTCCAAAAGGGATTATTTTCATACATTTTATCGCATTTCTTTTATTCTCCCTCTATTGTTGTTATTTTTTCTTCCCCTCGTCCCTCAAGCAAGTTATAGAAAATTAATACGGATATCATAAAAGTAGTTTTATCGAAAAAAGAAAAAGAAAACAAAAGATCGATATTTGTTTATTAATGGTTTTAAAAATTTATATTACATTTTAACTAAACCAATAGAGCTAACCAACAAATTTATGAGTGAGGATATTTTGTGCATGTGATTACTTATAACAGTATTTCCATTTTGGTTTGTTAAATAGTATTATAATATTTTTGTTTTTTATTTTGCGGGGATAGGAATATGAAGGGAAACACTTTTATATACTGCAAATAATAAATTTAATTTATTTAAGAAGTAATAATACAAAAGAATAGTAGTTCCCAAACTTTTTTGTTCTATCGTCCCCTTTCCAAAAAAAATATTATTTAAATATTTAACACACTATCGGCGGGTCGGGTAGTTCTACCCGTTCCACAGACTGGCGCTGGTCGGCGGGTCACGTATTAATACGTTTTATGCAGAACGTAAGCTAAGTTTCTGTAAAACACTTACTAATGCTTGTTTTTTTTCATTGTTACTAATTTTTGAGCAGGAATGATGTTTTTGGTTGTTTTTTTTTTTGTAAAATCTGACCAGTGTTTAGTATTAAATTTATTAATTTTTGAGAAAAACTAATAATGTTATGAAATACGCTATTTTGACACTGCAAGTTTCGTGCTTACAAAGTATCATAAATTCAGTTAATTGATTTTGATAGCATTAAGTTTAAGTTTTCTACATCTTCGAAATACTATTTGATATCTATTTTCCGAATTTCATTGAAATCCTACTATTGGATGTGAAGATATAACATGTTTTCTAAAAAGTGCACTGCTTTTATATTTCGTTTATTTTCGCCCACTACACGCATGAGTCAAGCTCGCGACGTTCCCGCCGATAGTGTGTTAATTATCGCCCCCCCCTCTGAAAATTAATTTTCTGGTTTTCCTTTTTTTGTTTAGTAATTCAAAAAAAAAAATTCATCGCATTGCATCGCATCGCATCGCATCGCATCGCATCGCATCGCATTGCATCGCATTGCATCGCTTCATCGCCCTCCCTCATGCGCCTTGTAAATAAAAAACATTGAATTTTCCAAATTATTGTATAGTAGCGCGCGACAGCTACACCTTTTTTTTCTTTTTTTTTATCACCGCACACTTATAGTTATTCGTTGTCACTCCCCCACCCCCAAAGTTCACCTGTGGCCGTCATCGCCCTCCTGGACCGCTTCATCGCCGCGGCGAGATTTGTCGTTTTAAAGATACAGTGTTGCGGAAAGTATTTCTTTTCATCTCCATGGCCTGAAAACAAAAGTCTCATACAACACGGCATTTTTTAAGAACCTATCTACCGTTTTATATGAGGGTTACTTGTATTTCGAGTTATCGGTTTTACAAACGCATTGAAATAGGCTTAAAAGGCGAGAAGAAGAGAAACGTAGATGTCCAGTTGGTACTGAGAAGAAGAAGAGAACGGTCTCGGACAAAGTGTCGTACTTGTTACATCTCCTCCTTTCTAAATTAACATCTATCTAATATTACTTCTTAAAGAAATTAAACTTATTCTTTGCTGTGTATAAAAGTGTTTCCCTTTATATTCTTATCCTCGCAATTTCAAGACTTAAATCTATAGTTAAGATTTTGTTAAAAAAGATTTTTACACAGATGTAAAATAAAAGTGTACTTGTGGATAATACCTTATCGTCAATGATTTACCGCATAATTGGTTCGTTAAAT